ACTTCACATCGTGATTTGGAAATGAAAACCAAAACCAATACTAGTGGTTTGTGATAACCCAATAGCTGGAGATAACATCTTTCAAAAAACAGAGTTTTTCCTAGCTGAAGAAAAACTTGTTATTTTGCTCACATTTAGTTGCACGGATACATCAGGAAAAAACAGTTTTAAACTTTGAAGCTATTTAAATGTGGAGTATGAATAACCCCCCTTTTTTCCCCATTTAATTTTAAGCACTCCTTTCTAGAATTTAACATTGAGAGACCCCCATATTTTCATTGCATCTTAAAAATGTTATCACAACTGACAAGCGTGTCAAAACTAGGAAACTGAAATCTTAAACAGTGTATTAAACACCAACCCACTGTATGTCCCATTCCTTACTATTCAGAGACACGCTTCAAGTTGCAGAGAAATCAGATCTTCACCATTGACAGTTTAAATGGCAATACTACTTAACTTAGTAAATGAAGACTGAAAACATGTGTTTTCTGACAGAGGCCAGTTTCAGTGGAAACTATTTTGCTGATCATTTAACCATCTTCAGAATATGCTGTGATTTAGTCAGTGGCTTCAGATACTGTTTTTCCCTGTTTTGCAAGAAATGGGGAACTATGTGGTTTTTGTCAGTGTATGAAAAATGGATGATCTCTTTAGAAAGTCTCACTCTTTCACACAAAAAACTCATTATGACCCATTTCTTTAATCAAGATAAAATTGAGTTAAAGGCATGATATTTTCTTCATTACAAATAAAGTATGTGGTTAAAGAGAAAAATAAACTTCACAGCACACAGGGAGGTACCATTTTAAAAATATATATATATCCTTTTCCATTAAAGGTCTAAACGTGCATAAAAAGGTTTTCTTTGCTAGAAAAGGGTAAAAGTTAAGACTTACCTTGGTCAAATCCCAGGATCCAAGGAAGACTATGATGCTGGCAACTCCAGGAGTTCCACCTTCTGTGTTGTTTTATACTCTGCCTCTCCCACTACCTGCTGTTGAACTCAAGAACCACTGCTTGTCCACCCATGTTGTTTGTAGTTGCAATAAAGAATATGCTATGTTTTGCCATCATTTCTATTATCAACATGAAAGAGGTATGCCTTTGCTGGAATAAAAAATTATGTTCATTCTTTGAAGCAAAATTAACTCATCAGTCTGAGAGGCCTTAGAGCAAGATACTTATAGACATGAAGTCCTTTTTCTTTGACAATGCAGCCTTAAAAACACAAGACAGGAAGAAAGAGAAACATCTGCATTGATTTTGATGGTTTAATACTCAAGAGTGAAAAAGTGTAAAATCACAAAGCTTATACCACCACAAAAATGCAGTTTCATTGCAAATGACCAAAACACAAGCTGCCTGCAAAGTTTCACACAGCTGACATCAACAAACCCAGTTTCAACATTCTTACCATCTTTTTAAACACCTGCTATTCACAAACATCAGTCAATACAGAGTTCTAGGTCTCTCACACATCTTTCTTTATATTCTATGCTATATTTGCTTTCTAGACCAGTGGTTTACACATTTGGAAAAAAGTGCCCCACTTCTGATCTATATCAGCATATAAATACATAGTTTTTACCCCCTAAATTACTAATTATATTTTAAAAGCATTTTGTTTAATCCAAACTCAGCAGTAAAGTTCTTATTTGTATTTAATGAAAAGCACAACTTATATGAGTAAGCTTCAGAAGTGCATGCTGACCTAGGTTATATCACCAATCCTTTCAGCCACAGGTTATAATACTTATGCAGAAAGTGATCATATAGGGTGAGTTAGTACATCAGACAGTAGGTTATATTTGCTCGTACTAGTAATGCATGTACCTATGGCAGTGATTCTGCAAATGCAACCATTAGGCCTGCAGGATGCGATTGTCCACCTAACTACATTTGGTTGCCTGAAGGTCGTATTATCCAAAAACTATTACTACGTCAAAATGTCTCCGGTTAATGAGAACTAAATGGAAAATGGGCTGCTTACACAAACATTTTAAAAACTGAAACCCTTTTTACATGAGATATCTTTGTTTTCACAGCCTGAAAGTATTCATGCAAAGGAACTGTGCATATCTTTAAATGTTACGCTAATGCCCATTTCCAGTTCCCTATAATAAACTAGCTTTCCAACAGTTGATTAAAATCCTGATCTTCAATAGAACTAAAGAAAGTACATAAAACAAATTTTTCCCTTCAGACAATCAAAACAGAAATACATCTTGGTATAACCTACCACATCTGACAGAGATACGCAAGGGAATTTTTAAAGAGCTGTTGTTGCCTCAGTGGAAACAATACTAATGTGGGTTTTTTTCCTCCTTCAGCGCTAAGGCCAACTACATTTTAGGATTCACTTGCTCCTTACTGGTTTATTCCTTCATCTGACATTATAATCCTCTGGGAAGGTGAAGATAAACATAAGAGAGTGTTGGTATATTTGTTCCTAAGGAGCATGTCTGTCAAAGATTCCACAAGGTACCAATAAATGGGTTTGACCTTGTAAGTAGCTTTTTGTTGGTTACAAAACACATTTTCTGCAGGTATTCTTATATCTGTTTTACAGAGAATGTTTAAGTTTCAGCTTAGAATAAAACTTCAAGAAAACTAACAGATTTTTTTTTAACTCTATTGCTTATTACAGGCCTGACTTCTTCCTTTATGGAGTTATTTAATACTTGAAGTACAGAATCTGATTGCTTGCAATTAGGTATCTAGCTGGAAAATTCTGGCTTATACACAATTATTAAAATAGAGAGATGTTACCATCTTTAAAATCATAGAATCAGATAAGGAAACAAAAGTATAGGATGATATTAGAAGTACTACAATTAATAACACCCTATTTATAAATGGAAGCACAAGATCTTTTTTGAGCACCTATGAATAATTTTGAAAAAATATTATCCATTAAACAGTGAACAGTATAAATAAGCTTAGCGTACATGCCTTTAGTGCTTCTACACAACTCAGTTTCCTATCCATTTTCCAGCTGTTGGTGACACTTCCAATTTCAACAAATGATTTCATAGTACATGATCGAAAAACATCCCAATCCCGAGTACACTGGTACTCACACTTGTACAAAATGAGGAAATCGTGTAGAAAAGTTTGCAGTGCAGGCGAACCTCGTGAGTTCATCTTTGGAACATTAATAGCTTTGTACAGTTTCAAACTTACTAAGGCACACAACAATTAAACTGTCCCATATCTGAAACAGCATGATATGTCAGTCAGCATGGAGCTTCTCTTTAGCTTTGCATTTACATTCATATTATAAAGCAGCAGTCAGTTTTGAAAAAAATCGAGCTTCTGTTAATATTAAGGAATCTGAAAAGTGACTAGCCATGCCAGACTAAGATAGTTTAACTGGATTCTAATATGGATTAGCACACACAAAACTACGCTTACATAACCACAGGAAAAAAAATTCTGAGTCAGCGACCACCGGACTGGCACAACATAGCCATCCGGATACAGGCCTGTTTCTGCTCTGCAGAGAAGGTGGGAGAGAGTGAGTGCGTGAATGTGCAAGTCTGTGTGTGCATGTAAAAATAGCAGCTTCTCGTTTGTGTATCTTATTTCTCCTGTGTGTCCAGTATGGTATCTTCTTACCCCAGTGACAAAATATTTTGGCTGCTATTTTTGCTTCTGCTAGCACTGCACAGTTTAGTACAGTTAGTGGTGCTGGCTTCTGCTCTGGACTTTGAAGTCACTGAATTATAATTGTAAAGTTAAATTATGTACTTCATTTAACCAATGTGCAATCCAAGTGAAATTAGCTTATTTTCAAGTGATTTAAGTAGAAACCAACTTTGGCCTGAGGCAAATATTACAATGTGAAAAAAGAAGGAAAAAGAAAAAAAGGAAAATTCAGATCTCAGCTTGGGTTTGCAGGGCTAGTAATGGAAAAGGGCATCTTCTCATTTGTAAACAAAGAAAGGATTATCTGGAAATGACTTGACACACAACGATCATAAGTGTCATCAATGCCGCTTTTACAAGTTTTCTGCAGAATAGAACACATATTAGCTAATTTCACTGTGTTAAGAAATTAGGCATTATGTAATAATATTTGACACTTCACACTTACCTTTAGCAATACCTAATATCAAGGTAACCCAGATACTGCAAAATAAGTTGATGTTATTAATGTACGTAGCCACTGAAGCTGTAAAGAGTTCTCCTTACTTCAGTGGAAATACTATCCAGCCTATTTTTTAAATTTGTTTTCTTTTTAAAGATATTAAATGTACTACTGTCTAACCATAAAAAGTCACTATTTCTCATTAGGAATAGTGTGAGAAATTCTTGCTTCAGTGTTACCTCTTTCTTTTTTGCACTGCACTCTAGGTATATAAATAATACCATTTTTGTCAATTCTTGCTGTGCTTAGTTTGATCCTACAGAATTGTATTTATTTTTTATAGCTGTAGTAACTGTATCTTAAAATGTTTTCATTAGGTGTTGCATGTAAGTACACAGAAATGGAACTGAAAATCAGCTACCTACCACTCTCATTAGTCTTATATTCTGTTATATTTGTGGTTAGTAGCTTAAGATTTAAATAGAATTGCTGAATATTTTAGTAACCAAGTGCAATACAGTATTTAAAAAAAAAAAAAAAGGAAAAGTCCTATTCAAGCACACGCTTATTAATTGACCTGCTATAAAACAAACAAAAAATATAATCCTCTGAATTCGCCAGTAGCAAATTCCTGTCTTTATGGGTGGAAAAATCTGAAATTATTGGACACAGGTCTCTGAGGTAAAACATATTAATGGCATGATTTCTCCCCAAAATAAAGTTTCCAATAAAGTAAAAAGTGTGCTGAATAGGTGGAGACTTAGATTCAATACTTCTCAGTCCACTATTAATCTAATAGTCTGAGTGTTTCCCCATCCCTTTTTTTCCTCTTTTTTTTTTTAAAAAAAAAGGATAATCAAAAATATATATAAACAAATTACTAAGTAGACTTCATTAAAGAGTCCTTTCAGAACCACTGTCCATCATTATCATCATCTTCCTCCTCCTCATGGTCCAGATAGAGAAGAGCGACTTTCTTTTCATCAGAAATCACTGACCTTTGGTCTACCATTCTTTGCAACTGTACAGTTTTATCAAAAAGTGACTTTTCCACTACCTTTTCAGCATGATCTTGAGAAAAACTGGAGACAACATAGCCTCTTCTTTTATTTTCGTTTTCTACAATCTGGTCACTTTCAACTACGGTCCGTGACTGACTAACAGAAGGGTCTTGCTTGTTGGATACGAGCACTGTTGCTTGCTGTTCTCCACTTTTTGCTGTAGATATTCCACCCGTATTGGAAACATCCATCTGAAAAGTAAAAGATGTTTCCTTGGGTCCTACTTTAATATGCTTTACAGACCTACTGCTCTCAGATGACTCTTCTGTTTGTGAAAGATCTTCCAGTGTTTCAGAAATAGGTCTTGTAAAGATTATTTGCTCAGCATGAGTTTCTACAGGACTTATTTTAATGTGCCTGAAAGATCTATTGATATCTGAGCTTCCTTCATTCTCTAAAAGATGTCCTTCTTTGTTAATGAGCTCTGAAGTTTCAGAAAGCGAGCCCTGATATATGATTTGTTCGGTGGTTTTAACTCCCACTTGACCCAGTCTAACATGCTTTATTGAGCCTTCTGAAAGAGTCTGGTCCTCCAGTTCACTGATTTCTGTGTGCGCAGAGACGGGCCCCTGGTAGATGATTTTTTCAGCTGTCATAAACTCTTGGGGACCCAAATGAATGTGTCTGACTGAACTTTCTGTCTGTGAGAAGTCTCCAGTGTCACTGACCTCCACTTTACCGGAGATTGGTCCTTCGAAGATAACTTGCTCAGTATGAATCTCTTTTGGACCTAATCTAAAGTGCCTTATTGATCTGCTGACATCCACAGACCCTTCTGTCTGAGAAAGGCTACCAGAGCTATTGAGCTCCAGAGAGTCTGAAACAGGCCCTTCAAAAGAGACTTCTTCAGTTACTTGCCTTGATCCTACTGTCACATGCCGTGTGGACCTGTTGAAGTCTGTTGAAAACTTGTGGGAAAGATTTCCAGAATCAATCTCTTCTACAGTTGTAGTAATAGGGCCTGTATAAATTACTTCTTCTGTGGTTTGGATTTCTTTAGGACCCAGTTTAAAATGCTTCACAGATCGGCTAAATTCTGACGATCCTTCTGTCTGAACAAGATCTTCTGTAGCACTGAGCTCCAGTGTTTCAGAACCAGGCCCTTCATATACGATCTGCTCAAATCTCTGAACTTCTGCTGGACCAACCTTAATATGCCTCATGGATTTGGTCTCATGAGTTGATTGTGGTGACTGAGAGACTTCTCCAAAATCTGCAGTTTCCAAAACCGAACTGTCATAAATAACTTTTTCAGTGGTATGATACCCTGCACCACCACTCCTCCTCGTTGTGGATGAGTTATAGATTTCTTGATCAGCAAAAGGAGTATATTTATCACTGCAGGAAGAAACATCTACTTCTATATTGCTTCTACCATCAACAACTCTCTCCAAGCTCTCTTTTTTCAGGGAGTGCAATGTTGCTTTCCCCTTCTCACTTGCAATTACTTCACCCAGCTGAGCTACATCGAATTCATCAGTATTAAGGGTCTGTGACAGATTGACTTCAGCAACAATTTTCACCAAGCCACCCTCCTCCGTTTTATCAACTCTTTTGATATCAAATTCTAAGCTACTAGAGTCAGCTTGATTTTCTTTTGTTAATGCAGACAGCTCTTCTTTCACGCTTTCTGGGAAACTGCCCTCCAACTGCTCCAAAGCTTCCTTCAATTGATGTTTAGGGTCCTTCGTTTCCTTTGATAAAAGCCCTTTTATTGAAGTCTGAAATTCAGGCGGAATTTTAATTTCTTTTTCAATAACAATGGATTCAACATGGGATGTTTCAGCTTTGGGATGCTCCTTTAAAATATGGGCACTTGCTTCCTCCCCTACCACTTGATATGTGTCTTCTGGAGAGCTTACACCTTCATCTCTCTTTCTTTGTGTGCCTTGCAAAAATTCATCTTGCCAAGAATATTTTATAGTTGATTCTTCTTCTATATGAATTTGCCCATATACTGAGTCATCGTCTTTTTCACTAATAATAGGATGATCATCAGGAACAGATACAAAATATTTTTGTTCAATAGGTGAGTCATCTTCCTCAGTTACTTCTTCCACATGAGTGAAACTCTCGTGGCGTTGTTTCTTCTTTTTAACATCTTCATACGTGAACGTTACGGTTTGTTCCTCCTCCTCACCGTAACACCTCTCTCTCTCAGGGAATGTATCTTCCACTTCCTCTACTTCAAAAGGTGTTGAAAAGTCAGTCCTTCCATCAGTGGCGTAATCTAGCGGCTCCTCTACAATCTCAACATTAACAGACATGTTCTTTCTGCCCTCATTTCCTTTCAGGCCATGATATACTATGTCTTCTATCTCCTCTTTGGAAGGAGTTTCCTCAACACCCTCTTGAACCACTTTTCTAACATCCTGGTTTGATAGACCTCCTACATCAGCTTCATCAGAAATATCTATGTTTTCTTTAACTTGAGATTGCACTGTGATCTCAGTCTTTATTTTCCCATCATCTGGTTGTTCTTTCTTATTAAAATAGGTCACTTTCGTGTCTGTTGACATTTGTGAACTAGAAGACTGTGTAAAACTTTTAAGAATGTCAGCAACAATATTCTCTGCTATATTTTCAGTTGACAGAGCCCCCATTTTATGACTTCTGTCACCACTTCGCTCTTCATCTTTCAGACTGGATTCTGCTTCTGAAGTACTCACTTTATGAATTTCAGCAGGCTTAGTTACATGGTCATCTGCTGCTCTTCCTATGGAAGTTTTAAAACCTTGTAACCTTATTTCTTTATTACTCTGAGATTCTTTGTCAGGAGCAGGCATTTCAAGACTGATAGGTATCTCAATGACTTCTTTGCTTCTTGATTCCAAGGTCACATTTGTATCTTTTTTGGTTGATTCACTTTTCAAAGTTCTTGCATTAGAAATATCACTCCCTGTTAACTTCTGGTTAATGACTTCCTCGCGGATATATTTTTTCTGCTCAGTCTTCCTTCCAAAATCAACACTTCTTTCATCTATAAACGGTTTCTCATCTGTTTTCTTTTTCTCCTCCTTTGTTTGTTTCTCTAGCTTATCTTTTTCTTTCAGCAGAGATTTTTGCTCTTCAGTTGGTTTGCTGCCTCCTCTTTTTTCTTTTAGTGTGGTCTGAGTTTCAGTTATGGTTTCTTCATATTTAGATGGTTTAAAATTGGTATTCAGCTCATAAGTCGGAAATCTAGTGAAGCTTGGTTTTGTTCTTATATTTTCAGGAATCCCTGGCTTTGTGTCAGGCTTGTGGTCCTTGTCTGATCTTTGTGCTGATTCTTTTGAAAAAGATACTGTGGATGAAGTTGTAACTTCTGTTTTCTTCCTTTCTGGAACTGTCTTTTGCTGTATTTCAGTGTTTTTCCAGCTACTGTAGGCTGGAGTAAACGTTCTTAATTCTTTGTGGTCTGTTACAATCCTTTCATCCTTTGTAACAGTTGTTGAAGGGCGATACATTGAACCAAGTACATCTCTTCCAAAAGTTCTTCCACTGGCTGTTGTCTCTGATCCAGCATGTGTTGATTGAGCTGAATAACGTGCAGAACTGCTAGTATTTGTCACGGGCATTCTATGCCTTGTATCAGTGATCCTGATAGCTGGTGAAGCTTTACTTCTATTTCTTTCTTGATAAGTAGAGTAAATATCAGTGTAGTTATATGAAGTGTTTATAATATCTGCAAAAAGCACAGGTAACCCAACATTAAAATAATGGCTTGTATCTGAAATAATATAAAATGGAGAGTATGACCTAAGAAATTTCATACTAAATTTTTGAAAGAAGTAATGGCTTCATTTTCAGTGGAGCTTTGTAAAGGCATCAAAGCTTTTTACTACGTTGCAAGTTCATGCTAATTTTACCTGTTGTGAGCTACTGGGTATTGTGGCATTTACTTAAGAATTACACCTTCCGTATTTATATTAATGTTCATTTATATTTACAACTTATTATTAAATAATGTATGCTGATATCCTAGGCTTGGTTTTCTGCTTCATTAGTCAGAGTGACCTGAAGTTTCTCAGTTCCTGTTGAGAATTAATGGCATACCTGCCACCACGTACTGGAAATTGAAAACACAAATACAGCCCTTCATAGCCACAAGATGCAACAAGGTAGCGAAATAAAGAACATTTTAGGCTCTATCTATACAATTTAATAAGATGTACCAGGAATCGTTGTCTGGCTCTAAGACCAACCAGCACTGCACGACTCAAATCTCCTACTCCTAAAAAGCTAGCCACGTCTCCTCGGACTTTTGGTAGTGTTTCCTGGTCTGCGGTAACCACTGAATATGCCTGAGCATCGTCTGCAAAAGTACTGGCTAGTCCAGACCAAAACTGTGCCAGGGACAGTGCTAACAATTTAACAGCACGGGCAATTCTATGTGAACCTTTCAGCCTAGGCCCTAGGCTGTTTCATTTACTACTACAGGCACAGCCTTCAAATCTCTTCTGGGACTACTGTCTATGATAGTCTGATGACTTTAAGACCACACATTGTTAAACTCAGGAGTATTACTAAGATTAATTCTGTTATTAATAACAATGGCCGTAGCACTCAGGTCGAAGGTCCATCTTATCTAGTATCCTTTTCACAGTGACCAACAGTAGATACATAGGGAAGAGTATAAGAACAGGGCAAGTAAATAGTGATACTTCCCTGGTATACTCTCACAGCCTCCAGAGATTTGCAGCTCCTAAGATAGAAATGGTATCTTTATAAGTCTTTGATTTTTCTTTCATTACTCCGCTAAAATTTCTCTTTAAACCCACATAAACTTTTTAACACTCACAATGCCTCATGATGAAGAATTCCATGGTTTTAACTACATGTTTTGTTAAATACCTCTTGCTTTATACTTCAAAACTCTCTTAAGACCTATGGGCATCCAAAAGTTCTTGCACTATTAGAGCTATGAAACGTCATTCCCTACTTACCTTCTCCACTTGAGTCATGATTTTATAAATTATCTCATCTAGAATAGCACTGTGTTGATTTAAAATATTAACACTCAAAACCAATTCAATATTCACTTTGCAATACACTCGTAAAAAGTATTCTTCAGGAATACTATAACACAGTAGTTTCCAGTTATATTTCATTTCATTCAACATTCATTTTTTAATATTCATTTTTTACCTTGAGGCAATTTCCCTCTATGCTGATCTCTCCATGTAATAATCCACTGGTTGCTCTCCCCTTCTAACAAAGCTCTGCAAAACACATAAAAAGGAATTCCATTAAAATATTGGGAAGAATAATCATAATATTTAACATTTATAAGTCTTAGAAACGGAAACAATTATCCTGCAGTTGGGTCAGATCCTGAGTGTTTTTCACATCCCATATTTTTATTACTGGGAATGAGAAATCCTTAGCATCTTCCAGACTCTTAGTTTGCAGAGTCCAGTTCATGAGAACAATGCAGTCGTCTTACAGTAGGTGACAGCAGCAGACACAGTACAGTTTTAGATCAAATCTTCCACATTAGCCAATGTAGTGCTTCCTGACATGGACAAGATCCCCTGATTTCCACTATGGAATCATACAAGCTATCAAATTTTTCCAGAATTCTGATCTTATAACAGAGTTAGGAGAAAACAAGGCCACACAAAACTTAACAGATATTCAGTAAAGCTTTCTCAGAGAAATACATGGAGATGTTTTACAAAGAAAAGGCAAAAATGAAAAAAAAAAAAGTTTGCAAGCAACTAGTCAGCAGCTTGCCTGCTGGTAATGTAGTACGAAAGGTGTTGTTGCAGTGTGATATATGAGGGAACGGTTACAGCTAGGATTTCTAAGTTCTTTCCTTTTCAAATGAAAATTGAAGGAAAGTGTTACTTCTACTGTTAAACACTGGCTAGTGCTGGAGGAAACAACTTACAGTATTAAAGGAACTATTCTTAGTTCCTATTCAATCGGAAATCAACACAACATATTTTACAACAAAGGACTAGGAAAATTCTTTGTGACAGAAACTGCTTGGTTTCTTTTAATGACATCTCTGTTTGTCCCCTCTGTTCCTCAGCCATCCATTCATTCTTTTTTGCAGTGACTAATAGCTTCTGTAGTTCCAGGAACCCAGCACTTCCACAGGACTATTGTGGCCAAGGCTTCCTCTTGCTGACCAACTAAGACCTCATGTTAGCTCAGCAGCAATTGATCAGAAATGGACAGGGCACCAATTTGCTTACCTTCACATTATGGAAATTATATCACTACAAGCAAATAGCAGAAGTAGGCAACAACCATTGATAATCTGCTTCATAATTTTGTCTACTACCTATTCTTGGTGTGCTGACGCACAGAATGGAGACTCTCGAGTTGCTCGTTCTATGCTGGTGACACACATTAGCTGTTCTTGGAGACATTATACCCAGCTGATTGCGTGAGAACACTGGCTATCCTTCCTTTACGCCAAACTTTGTTCCCTATGCAGCATGCGCGTACAAGGACCCCACTCCCTCAAGACCCATCTGACAGCAGCCATGGGCTTGTTCTATTCCTGCATAAGGTTACTACCCTACATTTTCTCCTTTCTACAGTGCTGGAAAATACTCCAGAGGTACATTTCCCACAGAGATTAGCACTACTGAGGGGCAAAACATTTTCAGGAGTAATTGCTCTGCGTAAAGAATATTCAAATAGCCACACAGCATACTTTTGTCCTCTCAGCGGG